AACCGGTGTACAAAGATTCGTTCAGGACTCTCTGCGTACAAGACACGCCTCCCCCACCCACCACCTGCCACAAGCAGCATCCGTGCTCCTGCCCCGTGACGGGGAGGGCAGGACGAGGGCAGGACAGGGCAGAAACGTGGTCAGGAGGGCAGGGCTAGGAAGTACGCGGGGACGGTCAGCGGGACTGGGGCACAGGAGAGCGTGGGGAGATGAAGCAAGGGAAGGGGACTAGAGACGGCTCTTGTCTCTCCTCTGTCAACCGAGTCCTGGTCTTAGGCACCGAGGACAGGGAACGAGGAGGGGAAGACCGCTCTGGAGGTGAGGAAGAACACTTCCAGGTGATGAAGGTGCACTGTGCTCGCGTGGAGGTGGAGGGACCCAAGAGAGCCCCGGGAGATGGGACCCGTTTGGATACACGTGGGTCCGAGGTGCAGGCAGGAGAGAGATTTAGGAATCATTGACCCACAGGCTGATGTCGAAGTGAAGGGAGGGAATGGAGCATGCGTGGATGGAAGGGGGAGAGAAGGGGACAGGGTGGCGGCTCTGAAACGTTAAAAGAGAGCCAGAGGGGTCCTAGATGCGAGCCTGAGACAGAGCCGTTGAGGCAGGAGGAGGAGGGGAGGATGACGGGTCGAGGGGGGATGAGCACCGGGACGGGCACGGCCCCAGGGCCAGCGTGGGCCGGGCCGGGTCACTGCGGCCACCGGTGACCTGGGAGCATAGCTGGGGGCAGGGCGGGGGGAGCCAGGTGGCTGCGGAGGGAGGGGCTGATGGACACGCTCGCTGAGCACAGACCCGGAGGCGGGCAGGCAGACCGAGACCCCGCTGGGCAGGCCTCCCCTTGTCTAGGACCGAGGGAGGCAGGGAGGGGCGGGTTCCTAGGTCCAAGACGAGGGAAGGGAGCCGAGAAGGGCTTGGAGGGGGATTTCCCTGAGCAGCCGAGAGCCGTGCGGAGGTGGGGAGAGCCCCAAGGGTTACGCGGGGTTTTTCAGCGGCGCCATGGGATCAGCGTGGCTGGAGAGGGAGCCAGTGGGAGGCAGTGGCTGGCGGGGTCCCTACTGAGGCCCCGCAGCGCTGGAAATGCCAGCTCAGGGTCACCTGGCAGACGGCCTTCTGTCTTTCCTCCACATGCACCACGAGGGAGGACCCTCCTCCTGGCCACGCCCGGACCAGAAGCAGGGGGAGGCCGCACCAGCTGCGCGTCCATTGCGAGACCCTCACCATTAGAGCGCCTAGTTCCCATCCCGCTCTGCTGGTCCGGTGTGTGCCTTCACCCTTGTTCCCACCGGACGTGTCGTCAGTCCCCCCGGCTCGACCAGTAGCCCCCCGGAGGGGCAGAGAACTCAGCCCAGATTGTCCCCAGTGCCCAGAGCTGCGTCAGCACTGGATGGCAAGTTGTCGAATAAATGGACAGCTGCAGACGAAAAGACCCTGAAGCTAAGAGTTCTCCCTCCTGTCTCTCCAACTGGAGCTGAGCCCAAGGGCATGTACTTTTAATAACTGACTTCCCGGAGGGCAGAGAGGAGCTGTATGCACCGTCGCCCACGCGTCAGCCGCTTCCCGATCGCTCGTCCGCTTGACTCTGACGCCCACACCGGCACCGCCAGCACCGTGCGGCCACCGGGCTCATCGGTGGGCAGCAAAGCTTCTGAAGTCTCCTGCTGCCGGAGCCGGATGTGAATCCGAGTCTCTCAGATGCCAGGGCCACACACGCTCAGGCCACCAGGCATCACAGGTGACGGTCGAAGCCCTCCGTCGTCTGTTTCCGAGGGGCTGTCACTTTCCTCCAGGACATGGGAATGGCAGTCCTTTAACAGCACACACGAAGGACCTGCCACTTCTGGACGGCCCTTAACGAGGCCCAGCCCACAGCAGACCCACTCGGGGGCCCGTCTCGTCTGTAATTACAGCTCACGGCAGTCGGCACTGGCCGGCGGGCAGTCAGGTGGGGGCCCCGCTGCCTCCTGCTGACTCTCTAATTAAACCAGCAGCAGCATCTGTGCGGCCGACCTTGCCAGAGATGGAGAGGTGCAGGTCCTGCTGAGAAGGGGCCCCTTGCCATTCCCGTGGGCCCCAGGGGGCTCGGGTCCCCCCTCCAGCCATCACCAGAGTGTGGACCCGAGAACAAGGCCATGCCCCAGCTCGTCTCAGGGGCTCGGATCCCCTTAAAATGTGAAACTCGTCGCGAGCGCAAGGAAGCACAAGCCGGGTCCCCCCTCCAGCTTCCCAGCTGTGGGTGTGTCCCCAGACTGGCTTGCATTAGGGGGTCTCCCGGCAGTGCCCGGGCTTGGTGCCCCGGTGCTCCCGAAAGCCTCATCGTGGGAAAAGGGTCTGCAGACCCCTGAAGGAGACTCTGCCCGTTAGGTGGGCCGACCACTTTCCAGCTGTGATTCGGAAGGGAGGTTCCGGGGGTCTGGGCTGCTGGCCAGTGGGACAAGTGTCACTCAGGCCTCTCTCTAAGACACGGCTTCTCTGGCCCATCTGGACCGGGCACACGGTTGAGGCTGCCAATATTTAGCAACAGGAACGACTAAGCACTTTGTAGGTGTCGTCTCATTTAACCTCAGGACAGTGTTATGAAGCCCATTTGACAGGTGGGGGAACAGGCACAGAGTGGTTAAGTCACTTGCCCAAGGTCACACAGCTAATGCATGGGAAAGTTAACAACCAGTCCCACGTCTTTCCAGCTCTGGGATGTGGACCCAAGAGGTGTGACTTTGGACTTGTAGCCCGTAGCCTGTGTTACCTCCGCAAAGGTCAGCATCTCCCCCGCTCTCTGTCTAGCACATGTTTGCTGAGCACGGACCGGGGGCTGCTCCCATACGTACGGAGCACTGCCCGCCCCCTCAGCCACGTGGCCGTTGTGGCGACGACAGCGCAGCATCCTGAGGGCACACGGGGGCCCCGCCCTCCCCTGGGGACAGGTTAATAATGATCGAGTCTATTGCCCAGGTGCCCAGAACTGTACTAAATCCTTCATATGCATGTCCCATTGGAATTTGGCAGGAATTCTGTGCGATTATTTTGCCATTTGAGAGAAACACGCCTGTTAAGTGTTTGGCAATAACTGGAGATATGAAAATGATTCCCAGCACCGTTTCTGTTATGAAATATTCCAAAAGCTCAGAACAAGGACAGAGAAAAATGCAAGGCAGTTTCCTCCCTAAACTATTAGCAGGTTGTCAACTTAACAGACTGCACACAAGCATTTTTGAATAGACTAGAGCAGGAGAGAATGGAAGCGATCAGATGCACTACATGTGGAAAGAACCATGAGTGTAGACGTTATTCACGAACATTATTTCAGGCCCATGGGTGAGTGTGTGTTTGTGTGTTGTGTTCGTATAAGACACAAGGGTCACACAAAAGGCCCGCAGGCCGAATCCGGCCCCCCACCTTGGTTTATCCGGCCCGGGCACCTTGTTTCTACCCGGCGGCAGTGCCGAGCTCTCACTGAACCGTTAAGGAGCAGTTACACGTATACAGTCCTCAAGTTGCATTCGGCCCTTTGAAGGCGACCGCAAGGCTGATGTGACCCCCGGTGAAAATGAGTGCAACGCCCCTGGTATAAGATGACTTACTGCATTGACCATGGTCAGAAGCATTTGAAAGTCTCTGGTATAATAAATGCATGTGTGTTCTCTATTCAGGTTTAACAGATACTAATATCATGTCATACTCGCTTCAGATCCTTTCCCAAGAAATACACAGTATAGACAGAACTGAAACGAAGCCCTCTTTGCATGCCCCGCCCCGCCCTCCTCCCTCTGCTGAAGCCCACGGACCCGGACGCGCCTCTGATCAGCCATTCCACCAACTGAGCCAGGCCAAGGCAGCTCAGCCCAGGGTCGGCCGGAAAAGCGTCCCAGCTAGGAGGGGTTGCTCACTGGTCAGAGGCCCTGCATGCTTGGCAATGTTCAGAGAAACAATTTAAACATGCCGGAGGCAGGGGGCAGGTCCTGATAATCTCACTGTTGACATAGACGCCTAAAACTAGGCAAACACACTTCACAGGACTGGACCAGGGCGGAGGGGTCTGACCTCAAGCTCAGCAGCTGTGTCTCTGACGGCGTGCTGCCTTTGTCTCCAGAAATGAGGAAACTGAGTCCTGGGGACTCAGGGACATGGTCCCCCCTGAACTCCCCCGGGGCGGGCAGGAGGGATGCAGGGACGGAAAGGAGAGCAGAGAGATGGAGGAGGGGCAGAGGGGGAAAGAGAGGGAGGAAGGGAAGGAGGAAGGAAGGAAGGAAGGAAGGAAGGAAGGACATATTTCCACGTGCACACACATGCCCACAGAGCCGCGTGTCTTCCCTGACCGGCCCCGCCCTGTCCCTCTCCCCCGGCTCTGTTTCTCGTCACAGCACCTGTCCCCCGCTGCAGCGTGCCATCATTTGCTTAATTTCCATCTCCACCCACCAGAACATGAGGCCCGTGAGAGCGGAAAGCTTGATCGGCACGTTCACGGCTGTTTTCCCAGGCCGGGCGTGCAGCTGGCGCCCGACGACGAGCGCTGAGCATGGCACCAGTGTGCAGAAAGCAATGCCGTGTTGAAAGACGGAGCCGCGCAGTGACACTGAGGTTAGCTCTGCTCACAGAGCCAGGTGGCACGCTGGTGGTCCGGGCACAGCGAGTCAAGGCCCGGTGTGGCCCGTCATCAGCCTGCAGTGAGGACCCTGCAGCTCGCTGGGCTCTTGCTGAGAGCCAGGCACCGGTCGCTGTGCCTCACGTGGTGACGCTTTTGGCTGTCGCCACAGCCCTGCACGGAGGTCCTCCCACGGTGTCTGCTGCAGGCAGGCAGAGGAAGGCACAGAGGGGTCCGCCATGCATTCGAGGTCACACGGCTGCAACGAGCAGTCTGCCTCCGGCCTCTGTGGGCTTAATGCTGTGTCCCACTGTTTCCCACAGAAAATTCTAGAGCCAGGATTTGAGGGCTACTGACTCAAGCCTTTCAGAAAATCTGGGGAATTTTCATTTCTCTCTCTCTCTCTTTTTTTTAAAAGCAATTTGAGGAAAGTCAAGGCCGGACCAGTAGCAAAACAGCCTTTTACCGGGCGCTGCAGAACTCGCTGGGCGGTGAGGGTGCGGACGCCAGCGTGCAGGCCGCGGCCACGTGGTATTACTCCCTGGAGCACTCCGCCGACGACTACGCCTCCTTCTCCCGGGCCCTGGAGAATGCCACCCGGTAAGAGCCTGGGGACGAGGGTCCACTGCTGTCCTCGGGGGCCGAGGTGGTGCTCAGGTGATGAAAAAGACCCTGGGGCGTAGGACCTGGCACGGCCACTTTCCTTTGCCCCGTTCCATGAGGACACAGCTGGGGCTGATCCAACTCTCCCCTAGGCAGTGCTCGAACCTGTGAGGGGCACAGACAGTGCTCGCCAGGGCCCCTGTCGGGTGCCCCTACCAAGAAGCAGCCGCTCAGCCAGTGCTGACGGAGAGCCTGCTGGGCTCAGGCCGGCAGAGAGGACGGCAGCGCTCACACCCGGGCTGCCCGTGAGAACCGCACGGGGAGCTTTCAAAGGGCGGCAGGCACACGGGTCCCATATGCATCGGTATTTTTCAGAGCTGCCCCAGGTGACTCTGCAGTGCTGCCAGGTACCACCCTGCACGTGGGAAGTGGAAGCTGACCCAGGGGAAGGCTCTGCCCGATGCCCACGCAGCCCCTCTCCCCTGGGGTGCCCATCCCGCACTCACCGCTTGTGTGGCTTGCTGGTCAAGTTCATGGCTTCAAGCCTCCCTGCCTCAGGGAAGGCGTCCCTGACTGTCCCACCCCAGGAGCCACTAACAGGTGCCCCCACCCCATCTGCCTGGGGATGTGCTGTCCCCACCCCGCTATGCTGCTCAGGACCAGCCTGCCCCTCAGGCCGTGGTGGGCTCGCTAGGGTCAAGAGCCATGTCTTATATGAGTACACAGCTGGCGCTGGAGAAGTGGGTTTTAAATGGAACCAGAACATAGCCAAGGCCCTGGCTCTCTCTGCCGGCAGAGCGCCCTGGGGACGAGACCACAGTGGGGACTCCAGGGGTCTGTCACCTTGGAGCCCGTCTCAGCACCCTCGACACGCTGCTCTGTGTCCCTGGGCAGAACATGGCCGGGTGGTTTGCACATCCTGTAACTTCTTTCCACCCTCCTGGAGGTCCGCCCTCGCCTTTGCTCTTCGTCCCTGGGCACAGAGCCAGTGCAGGGCTCAGAGGCCGTGCTGAGCTCGACTGTGTTGGGAAGGCATGGACTGAAGCCTGCTGACGCCCTCTGCCTGGGGCGGTCTCTCCACCCCAGAGTCTGTGGCTTCCCAGTGGAGGCCCATGAGCTCAGGATGAGCCTTAGTTCCGCCCACTGGGGTCACGGGGACCAGAAAGGCTCTAATTCCCCCCAGCAGAGAACTCAGCCTGACACCCCACAGCCAGCCGCCGTTCCTGGAGGCCCGGGCTCAGGGGACGCCAAGAACTCCCGGGTGCCTGCGTCCTGAGGGGCTCATAACCAGGTCAGGCCTGGCTCGGGTCTGTGCTGCAGAAGGAGCTCGGGGCTCGAGTTCCTGCCCCAAGTTGGCCTTTAACTGGCTTTGAGGGCGGTCTGTGTGCAAGGCAAGAGCCGAGGTCGGAGGAGGGACAGGTAACCCAGGAGGCTTCCCTAGGGACTCCCGTCTTCCCTGAGCTCAGGCCCTCCTTCTCCTCTGGCAAGATTCAGGCGATGGCCTCCCTGCCTGCAGCCCCCTTGGCGACGCCCCCACAGAGCTGCCGGTGTGTGACGTTCGTGGGTTCGCTCCCATCCCTGTCCTGCCCTCTGCTCTCAGGGGGCCCGTGCCGCCTTCCCCTGCCCTTCCGGACCCTCACCCCTGGCCCCGCCCCCCTCAGAGCCTTTCCTGCAAACCCTGGAGCTGCCCAGCTGACCGGCTAAGGGGGTGCTAACCCTTGTCATGCAGGGACTTCCACGGGTGTCATCAAGCTTGGCTGTTACATCTCCACACGGTGGGACCCCGTGGGCCCTGTTTCGGGTCTGCCCGATTCCCGCCAGGCCAGTCCCCCCCAGCACACTGCCGGGCACTTCAGAGCTCTGTGCTGGGCCCACTGTGCTGAGCGGGGGCTTCTGAAATTCATTCTCATCCCCCCAGAGGGGGAGCAGGTGTGAAACTTGGGGCGTCGAAAGCAGGGAGCAGGGTTCTCCACCTCCTCACCGTTGACATTCAGACTAGAAAAGACTTCGCTGGGGAGGGCTTCCCCGCGTGCTGTAGGATGTTTAGCGGCTTCCCTGGCCTCGACCTACCGGAAGCCCGTAGAAGCCTTTCCACCTCCAGCTCCGACAACTAGAAAAGCCCCCGAACATTGCCACGTGTCCCCTGGGGAGAGGGTCTCCCCGAGAGCCCAGCCGAGAGTCCGTGTGCATGAAACACCCTGAGGCGTCTGTGTTTTCAGGTGCACGTGATTGGGGACGCACACTATCGTATGTGCTGCTCCACAGGATGTTGTCGCTGTTTTACCATCAAGCGTTTCGCTCCCAAATCCTTAAGCGACACCGATGTGCTGCGAAGTTGCCTGTCGCACAAGTGTCTTGATCCTGGGATGCATCTCCCCGGACACCAGCGTGTGGCCCTGAGTGGCCCTGAGCCAGACTGGCCCGTGCGCCGCGCCCATGGAGCCAGCTGGAGGATTCGAGGGGGGTGTGTGCTCCCTGCGGCTTGGTGGCCGAGGGACCCTCGCCTGGGAGGAGAAGCCTTGGCCCTGCGCAGCTGTCTGTAGGGCTGTGTGTCACCAGACCCCCCCCTGTCCCCCTCCTACCAGGGACTACTTCATCACCTGCCCCGTGATCGACACGGCCAGCCTCTGGGCACGGACGGCCCGAGGGAATGTCTTCATGTACCACGCTCCTGAGAGCTACGGCCACGGCAGGTGAGGTGGCCGCGCGGCTGCAGAGGGCGTTGGCGAGTGAGGGGGGTCTGGTGGGAGGGCCCTGTCGCTTGGGCTCCTGTGACCCCCAGGATGGCAGAGAAAAGAGGGCTGGACCGAGGTACAGGTCCTGACTCGGTGACGTGGGACGTGTCACGTACTCTCTGTGGGCCTCGGTTTCATCATCTGAAACGCGGGTGTAACAGTAACAGCCCCTTGGTGTCACGGGGTTGCAGGGAGGGAAAGCACAGCGACATGGCACAGAAAGTGCAGTAGCAACTACTAACAGGTTCGCCTGCCGGGGAGAAGGCCTCAGTGTCTGGCAACGGAGCACTCAGCCTCGCTTCCAGAATGCCTCTCCACAGCATAACGGTGCAGGGGTAGCAAAAGAAACATTTTGTTTGCACCTACTTTGTGTACCTTTCCCGCTCCCAGAATAGACTTAATGTACCTTATAATAAAATTCCAGCTGCAATAAGATGATCGAAATAGAGAAGAAAAACAGGAGGCAGGAGGAAAAGGAAGTCCACAGGAAGAGAGGGGACACTGGCGGGCACAGAATGTGGCCCTCACTCCTCAGGAGCCGAGGAGAAGGGTAAACAGTAAATAAGAACTAAGGCTGGGTCCCGGCTCCGGCAGCTCAGCAGCGCCCGGGCCTCGGGGAGGCATCCCCAGGTAACCGAGTGTCAGGGCTCAGCGCCCAGGAGATGCCAGGGTCGGGCGGTTTGACTGTATCTGACAGTGGGAGCCCGGATGCTCCAAGGTCACCGATCACCCGTGTCTGGGGTCCATTTTGTGGGTGACAGGGTGGAGCTGGAGCCCCACTGCTCACCAGCTATGCGGTCTCGGGCCGGCTCCTTTGCCTGATTTCGGTGTCCTCATCTACAAAAGGAGGTGAATTATCCAGCTCACACATGGCTTTCACCTGAGTTATTTTGCAACAGTATGGCGTTAACATGCATAATTTCTCACTGCAATCGGCAACGTCTCTATAGTAGGCTTCCTAATAGCCACCTGAAGATACCAGGCCCCGACCTGCAACCTGTAGGAAAACGGGCTTTGCAGACACGGTTAAGTTAAGGACCTGGACGTGGGAAAATTCTCTGGGGCCGCCCTTGGTTGACCCTTGTTAGAGAGGCAGGGAGAGATTCGATACGCACCAGCACCCACCCCCGGGCTGGGATAGCGAGAAATGCCTCCTCCCTCAGAGACCCCGGAGGGAGCACGGCCCTGCGGGCACCTTGTCTGGGCCCAGGGAAACCGATCTTGGGGTTCTGGCCTCCAGAACTTCATGGCAGTAAATTTCTGTTCTTTTAAGCCGCCGAGTTTGGGGTTATCAGTGGCAACAGCCATGGGAAACTGGTGCAGTGCCCAAGGCATGCCAGCTTCCCTGAGGTTTCTCCTGCTTTCTCCTGGTTGCTCGGTTTATACAGCGCCTCACAGCGTGTCCAGGACCTTGGTGAGGTCGGCAGGGTCGGAGTTCATCCCTGTTTTACAGATGAAGAGTCTTGAGTTTCAAGGAGTTCCACACGATGTTCCCAAGGACTAGCAGTGACCTGCCCGTAGCTTCCCTGAGCCCGAGAACTCTTTTTCAACTAAAGCCCATGGTCTCTCTGCTTAGAACAGTTTATAATCTCAACCTCATCTGGCATCTCCATCTGGGCGGTGGGAGGAAAAGGAATGGGCAGGCCAGGGTTCCAGTGAGAAGACATTCAGGAGAAAGGGCGTGAGAGAGGGTGCTGATGGTGTGGGTGGACACGAAAGGAGACCCAGTAATCCCGGGGCCGCCCACGGCCAGGGAGGCCCCATGCGGGCCGGCGTCCGCAGCGTAAGCCCTGGCCGCAGCTTCCGAAGGCCAGGCTCTCGGGAATGCAAGGACGCCCGGGGCACAAGTCCTTCCGTCCGGTTCCCTGCCTCCCTCCCTTCCCAGCAGATGTTACGGCAAAAGGTACAACACTTGGGCAGCAAGTTCATCAAAACCCTGAAAAAATATACACGTGCCTTTCACCACCCAAATGTGCGCTGGCAAAAATGGATACATAAATAAGCAGTGCATCTACAGCCGGAGGTCACAGCCAAGCGAAAGGATCCACGGGATTCCAGCAGGGCCCCATCGTGCTCTGTCCCCCCGCGACTGCCTTTCCCGGGGCTGCCGTCGCCCAGCCCCACAGCGGTTTCCAGGTTTCCAGCGACATGAACGAATGGTCTTGGGGCTCTGGAGGCCAGGATCCCAGCCTCTGACAGCCCCAGGCATTTCCTGGCAGGTAGGGGCTGTCTGCCCCCTCTGCGGCTGTGTCCAAATTGCTCCTCTTTATAGGAGCACCAGTCACGTTAGAGTCAGTGCCCCCTGGGTCTTCATAGCCACGCACCCCAGGGCCCAGGGCCCCTCTGGCATGGGGAGGGGGTGTCCTAGTCGCTCAGGAAGTTGTGTGGAAGGACAGAAGGTGATCCACCTGCCTTACTGGACAGAGCGGGGGCGGGACTGGGGCCTTTCTCACCTGGTGTGCAGGCTCCTGGGGGCTCGGTGTTGCCACCTGCCAAACAGGAGTAGAGGGGCGCCCCCAGGTCTGCAGGGGGAGGGAGCGAGGCAGGGGACCCAGGCCCCCAGCCCCTTTCCAACTGTCTCGTAGCTGAGCCTTGAGAGAAATGTCACGGTCTGCAGTTGAGAGGGTGTGCAAAGCCGGTGCGCTCACCTGGCAGGTGCCCTCTAACTCTCTGTCGTTTTGGGAGGGCGGAGGCATTCGGCACCCCCGACCCATTTTACAGGCGGACACAGTGGTGACGTGAACAGAGGAGGAAAGTATCCTGGTTGCGGCAGGGACCCCGGGTTAGAAACCAGCTCTGGGCCTTATTAGCTCGGTGATCTAGACCAGCCACGTTGCCTCCTCGGTGACTCAGTTTCTTCATCTGTAAAATGGGGGTAAGGAGAGTGGTGCCTACTTCAGAGGGTCCCTGTGGGGATTAACCTGTACAGCAGATGGCTCCTGGCAAACCGTAAGCGCCGAGAGCATCCTTCCTCGCACCCTCCAGGAGGCGTGCCTGCCTGCCTGCCAGCGCCCCGTCCGGCTGCTCTCTCCCCACCGCAGGCACAGGGGGCGCCGTCTACAGAGCAGACACCCGAACCCATGAGTGAGCCCCGGGAGCTAGTTCAGCTCGGTGGCAGGTGTCTCGCACCGTGCCCTGCAGCTGTCACACCTCTCTCATTTATTTCTGGCTCAGGTCTACAGACGTAGGGCGCATGTGCACGCCGTGCATTCCCAGCCATCTGGCTCTCGCCTCCCTCCTCGTGAGCGCTCATTAGCTTTCCTGGCGTGGCTAGTGAGCAAAACCCAACGAATTACCACTTTTTCCCCCGACTGCGGTTAATGACTCACAGAGGAGTGGGGCTCTGTAACGGCTCACCTCGGTTACAGACGGGATTTTTGTCTCTGAAATGGAGGGACGAACCCTGGGAGGAAAGTCTGGACTCATTTCGAATGGGGGGAGGGGCGGGGTAGGACTCTCGGGACTAACAGTCTAGCCAGGCTCCACGGAGGATGTCAGTCCGCTCTTTGACTTGGGCAGAGGTGGCTCCGTGCGGTGGGAGAACACACTTGTTGAGGTTAATTCCATCTCTCCCACTGTGAGTGTTCTTCGTGTGAGCAGGTGCCTGCACCTCAATTTTCTTACCTATAAAATGGGTGAAGATTCTGAGTGTGAAGATTCAAGTCAATGAATGTTAAACAAATCAAAGGCACATTGTAGCCGTCCAATATTGGTTCTTTTCCCTTTAGGAAAAATGAGGTTCTAAGAAGAAAAAAAACTTAAAGGGACAGAGTAGGCAGTCATGTTCCATGTTTCTAAGCTGTCCCAACCCCGGAAAACAGCCGTAAATTCTAGACGGAGGACATTCTGTACAGCACTGCGTTTGTGTTCGAAACAGTTCCGTGCATTCCAGGGGCTTTTAACATTCTGATTCAGAATATTATCTTTCTCGTCAACCGTCTGGGTGTTGGAATTAGCAAACCAAAGAAAATAATCCTTGGTGGCTGGATTCTTGAATTGGGCCCATTGGTCTGGCCACACCCTGTGTCGTGAACAAGGTTATTTCCGAGTAAAGAGAGAAGCCCGCCATGTCCTGAACCTGACCACGCCAGCCTGGAGATCCGGGTAAGCTTCTGGTGTGCGTTCTGTTCCGCTCCGAGTCAGCAGATATTTACCCCTGCCTTCTGTGCCTCTGGTCCCCTTCTAGACCCTGGAGACAGAACGGCTGGCGGGACAGCCTCCAGGGACTGGCGCCGCGTCGGGGACCGACCGGGGCTGATGAGTGTCCAGCGATAGGATGGGGTGCAGGGAACAGGCAGCACGGAGCACCTGAGTACGCAGGGCTCCTGCAGACCACCGCCCTGGGGAGGGGGCGGGGAAAGGCCTGTCATGCTTGAGGGTGGAGGAGGAGGCCAGGAGGTGGAGTCTGTTGAAGAAAGGGGAAGTGGTTGGTGATTCAGGGGGCAAAAAGGGTCTTGTAGTTCCCATGGAGGTTTATAAACAAGAATGTGCAAAAAAGCAGTGTCTTATCTGAGTGTGATGGAAAGGCACTGGAGATTTTTAAGAAGACACAGTATACAGAATGCCCATTGGTCTTTTCTCGCACATTCAAAACGCAGCTCTGTAAAAGCCAAGTGTCTTTTTAAAGTAGGATGTAGACTAGAAACCCCAATTTCCCATGCAATGGTCAGTCAGTTCATCGGAAAGTCCAGTTAAAGTGGGGACTCGTGGAAAATGAGTGAGATATAGGGTTCCACCTCCCACCTTCGGGTTTCACCCTAAGCACGCACGCGTGTTCAGCCGGCATTGCTTCGGCCCAGGGCCAGAGGCGTGAGCAGGTGGATGCCGTTTGGAGCTCTCCACTTGAATTCCTTGCAAAAGCAGAGACGTAATGCATGGTCGGTGACTGCCAGCCTTGCTTTCTTGAAAGTAGGGCATCCGCGTGATACGTGATTAAGCTCTCGGATTGCAATAACAAA